GTGGGGGGGTGGCGGCATTGATCTAAACAGATGTTTTACCCATGACCAGGATTCCTATTCTTGAAGTGACTAGGCATGATAGCCTGTTTGTTAAACTGAACTGCAGGGATAAGCTAAGGATCCTGCTAGTGTACTGGCCACTATGCTGTCCAGCACAATCCCTTTGAGCTTCTGGACCTGATTTAGAAGCTAGCATTAGAGTTGCCTTGCCTTTTGATGTTCACTGACTTCAACTACCACATCTAAGATGTTGGGTCTGAACTGGCTTGGGAGCTAAGATGATCTCAGCCCCAACATATTGAAGCATGTACATTAGACCTTGTGTTCACTTGAGAGCAGCTGTTTAGAGATTTGAATGTGGAGGGCAAAACATCTAGCCCTTTGCCATGGTCAGATCACCTCCTGGTTTGAATGAGATTGGCTGCCACCCATGACCTTCATGGGGCAAACTGGTCCATTCATATGGCTCCGAAATATGCATCTTGATGGATTCTGGTGGGTACTTGGGGATTTTTCTGATGATCTGGTTGGCAGTTCCACTGATTGTCAGGTTAACTGTTGACAAGAGCAATTCTCAACCCAGTGTTCCTGAGGGGCCTCTTTCACTAATCCCTGTGGTCCATGGAGATGGACCAGGGGTTGAAGCAGTAGAAGCAATGCCTGGAGCACCAGCAGAAGACGACTAGAAGTGAATTTGATCAAGCACGGTTACAAGCTCACATTCAATAAGGGAGGCAAAGCATACTTTTTCTTCCTTATTGCATCAGTGGCCTTGTTTAGAATGGCAAATTCCTTTTGGAATAGGGAAATGCCAGTAGATCTCCCACTCAGCAACTGTGATCATTTTTCACAACATTTTGCCAAGAAAGTTGCTCAGATTTGTTAGGCTAGTTTTTGCATAGGCTGGGTAGAGACTGGAGTGATGTCCGGCTGTGTTAACTGGGACTTGTTTTAGCTTGTGGATTTCAATGAAGTGGACACTTGTATGTCCCCTGACACTTGCAGGTTAGACCCATATCCCTCCTTGTTCTTCCAGAGGATGGGAGGTGGCATTGTCTGCTGTGTCTGGGAGGTGATCTATACCTCAATGCAGGAATGAATATTTTGTGAAGCTTTGAAAAAGCCTGTGTTATGACTCCTGTTCTCTAATGGCCTCTTATGGAGTGAGTGTCACAGTTCTCTCCCCAGTAACTTTTAACCCTTGGAGAGGTCAGCCACTCGTTCAAGGTGAGATATCATGAGGACACTCAACTGTACCATCCTAAGCTGTAAGGGAGATGCTATCTTATCCTGGGGCCTGGAGGCTGTTCCGGCCTGGATGGGAAGAAGAGACTGTAGCAGAACCCAAGCAAGATGAAGCTACTATATATTCAACAAGGTTCTCTGTCAGCTCCAATGTGGTCTCTCATTGAAGGGGAAGTGCTGTTCCTGAGACATGTCCAGGAACAGCACTTCCTGGACATGTGTCTTCCTGAACACACAGCTACTGCTGGATGGGCAGGTGGAAGCTATGGCCAGGAGGGCCTTTGCCCAGCTTCAGTTAGTACACCAGTTGTAGCCCTACCTGGAATAATAGGACCTTGCAACAATAATTCACATTTTCGCCACCAGACTACTGCAATGCACCCTACATGGGGCTGACTTTAAAGAAACTGCAATTGGTACAAAGAGCAGCATTCATATGTTAATTGGCACTAAACACCATAAGCATATTACACTTATGCTATGGGCCCTGTGCTAGTTGTCAACACATTTCATTCAATTTAAAGTACTGTTTTAACCTATAAAGTTCTATATGGCTTGGCATCAAGGTACTGTTTTAACCTATAAAGTTCTATATGGCTTGGCATCAAGGTACCTTCTAATTCAACTAGAATCAATAAGAACATCTTGGGCAAAATTATTTGTAGTTCTATGTTACTACATGTTCCCTACATGAAGGTAGGGAAGCTGAGGCCAGGAAGAGATTTTTCTCAGTAATGGTTTCTATAATATGGGACAGTAATGGCCTTCTCTAAGAAACTAGATTAGCCCCAATGTTATTGTCTATTCAGAAGTAAATTAAAAACAGAGCTATTCTGGTGAGCTTTTAAAATTTAATTTATTGAGGGAATGCCATATACATACTGTATATTGCTCTAAGTTGTGATCTCTCTCCATATATAGTCTAGATGTACATAACGCAATGAAATGTCAAGCTTTCCTTTTGTTAGCTGTGCTCTCTTGATACCTTCCCATTCCCATTAACATACCCATTCTCTTTTACATATCACAGCTAATTTTGCCTTTAATTCAACCAAATAACAACCTTACTGCATCCATCAAACACACATACTGTTTTTTCTGAAATATCAATTTAGCACATAAACATCAAAATATACTTCATGTATTTTGTCGCCTTGACTTTATTGTTTATAATTTCTCTTACAATATACAGTGGAACCTCAGTTCACGAACTTAATTCGTTCTGCGACTCTGGTTGCACCCAAAATTGGTCGCGACCCGAAGCAAATTTTCCCATAAGGTTCGATGTAATTACCGTTAATCCGTTCTGGCGTGGAGGACAGGGAGGCGGCTATTGCTTGGAGGGAGAGTCCCCCTCCCTATGACCACATGACAGGGGCGGAAAATGGCCAGGGACCACGTGTCAGGGGCGGAAAAATGGCCGCGGACCGTGTCACGGGACGGAAAATGGCCCCAGATCCTGTTCGTGACCCGATCCAGCGTTCGCGAACGGAGGCAAAATTTTGCAACCGGAGCTGTTCGTGACCCGAATTGGTCGAGAACAGAAGTGTTCGTGACCCGAGGCACCATTGTATATGCATGGGATACATTTGTCCATGTATTCCTTTTCCAACTGAGGAATCTA